GGTCATAAGAGCCTGTACTGTAAAGTCAAGGTGGGACAGACTATAGTCATCATATATTTACTATAAGCAGGTTTAAATTAAAAACTGCATCCAAAATAAGGGATGAAGGGGAGAGGGTAGCCGTTAGCTAACTATACAAATTGTCAAAACTGACCTTCTTCTTCTTCTTCAAGTTCCACTCCTATCGGAGATTGGAAATCATTCTGGCAATTACAATTTTGTTGGTTACGCGCCTGAATAGTTCAATTAAACTGCATCCAAACCATTCACGGAGATTGCTTAGCCACGAGATTTTACGTTTTCCTACGCTTCTTTTGCCTTTGATTTTACCCTGCATTATATTGCTTAGTAGTTCGTACTTTTCACCTCTCATGATGTGCACCAAGTATTCCAATTCATCCAATACATCCAAAACTGACCATAATTTGTAATTTTGATTTTTGAAATGTTCTATAATTTTTTGTACAGGAAACATAAAAAAACTTATTAACGAAATAAAGCATAAAAATGGTTAAAAAAAATTACACCTACAAAAATAACTACTAAATAAAAATTTGAACATTATGAAATTGTAAAGAGAATAGTAAAAACAGCAATTTTTTTGGTTAATATAAAGCTTCCTCTACAGTGCCGCCTACTGAACCCTTTTTTATTTTTACCAAATCCACGAAAAAAACATTTTAAAAAAGTAGAGAAAAGATATTCACATTTATTGATAACGTTTTCTTTTCATTTCAGATGATGAGAAACTACAAACGAATGACCCAACGACAATTCTGTTTAATCGAGCAGCTTAATATCGCTATATAGCTGTAATTAATACAGGTGCCAAAATGTGTGCAGCCGCTAGAAATTTAAGTATTCTGGAATCAACAATACGTGTAGTCTAGGCGGGATCTGTTTTGGATTGGAAATTTTCGAGGGAAGCTATTTTTTTGCTGGAATCCCTTCAGGATATGCCCAGTATCGATAATCACGATATGCGCCAGTCGCAAACCCTGTACTAAATTTTTTATTTAACAAAATCTGAAAACAATTGAAAATTACTCATTTTTTTGCTCCTATTTTCATTTATAATTCGAAAAATATTGATCTTAGAGAAAAAATTATAAGTAGTTAAAAGTTTCATTATTAAATTTTACACAATATTTTGTTAGCTAGAAATAGAAAATTTAATGGTTATTGTTGAAAAAATAGCAATAATTGGAAAAAAAGTACAAAAAAATGAAGTTAATCCTTTAAATGTTTTCGACTTTCTAAACTTGACGTAGAAGTTCCATATTCCGCCTAGAAAAACTTTTTAATATGTTTAAAACGTGTGCTAAATTTTGTTAAGATCGGTCGGATAGGTTTTGCATAATAATTTTGCAATCCAGCCTACTGGAAAAAAAATCGCAAATTTTCAAATTCATAGTAGGCCCTAAATAAGGCCTTCAGATAGTTGCAATTTTTTTTACATATAAAGGAAGTCTCACACTTTTAAACGCTTTTTGTAAAATTCAAATCGGTTTACTAGGAAAGCCTATAAATTTTTTTTAAAATTATAAACATTTTTTAGGCTTATAAACAAATTAAATAACTTTACGAGCTTTAAACATATCAATTTCAAAATGTATACACTTAAAGAACATTAAAAGACGCTTCTTTTAAGAAACAAAAAGATACATTCGGCTTTCTGGTTGCCGAGATATTGAAGGTCAAAGTTGGTATACATTTGCCGTGTAACCATAAGTGATAGAGGGCTCGTTTTTAAACAAATACCCTCGTCTTGCCAAATACTTTTTATATGAAAAGTTTTACGTAATGCGCTTCATGGCAACATCCATAAAAAAGACAAATAAAAAACCGTTTTCGCGTAAAATGTCGCTCGGAATCAATGAGAGGTGGTGGTGAGAGACATTCACTTCAAATGTGAATCAGCGAGTATCAAGTAGGGGACCATCGCTTTGTTTAATTTCGGGTTTTGAAATATAAACAAAAGTAAAGTGCTCCAAAATCTGTAAGGGCTTGTAAAGTAAATTGTTACTTTTAGTAAACAAATATGTATTTATAAATTGTTAATAAATAATTTGAATTGTTAAACGAAGGAATTTTATTTTTTGGAAAAATCAAACATTTTAAAATAATTAACATTAAAAATAATTTATTTCTGCAGTTTTATCATAATAATGACATTATTTGATTTGAGAATATATTTTGATTCGAAAGTGACGTGTATATTGTATATTGACGTGTTATTATACTGCTGTGTAATGCTCGAAATTGTTTTTTTTTTGAGCTTGCAATTTATACATTGAAGTAAATTGTTACTTTTAGTAAACAAATATGTATTTATAAATTGTTAATAAAATAATTTAAATTGTTAAAACAAAGGCGAATGAAACAAAAATTTTCTTTTCATAAATAATCTTTATTTTGACTCAATCTTCAATAATTTTTTTAAGTCTTTTTCTTTTTCTGGAAGGACAAGAATCTTCAGGTTTTACTTCTTCCTCAAAACCTTCATTTTCCATTTCAATATCTTCATCCTCGATCTGCAAATTTAATGTTTCTTCTCCTTCATCTGTAGCTATATCTTGTGCCTCCAAAAAATCTAAGGAATCCATCGACTCCATATCCATATCTCGTTCAACTTCTTCCAATATTTTATTGTGATCAATATTTTTACATGTTTGACCATTGCAGTGAAGACAATAGTCAACATTTGAGACAATGTTTGATACAACTGCATGTTTTTGTACAAAGTTTTTTACATTTGCAACTAATATTTCTGAATAATGAGTCAGGTAGTAATACTTGCTCAGTTTCTATTGGCTCAAGACCATTTTTTCCCACCCCCACTCAGTAGCATTCAGGTTATTTTCAAGCCACTGCTGTACTTGGAAATATACACGAAGCGAGTGTTGCTCAGCTGCAGATTGTGTAGGTGGCAGCATGGATGTAATATCAACCCTTAAATATCAGAATTACAGATAAAATAATATTATAGTTCATACTCGTGTAACATTTGTTTATGTAAACATTCGGTAATTTAAATCGAGGTCATTCATATATAACATACTCTAATTAAAACAGCCGGTCAGCACTCTAGTAAAATTGCACGACTTACTTGTGGTGTAGGTCAGGGAATACACTTGACACGAATAGTAAACAAGAGCGCTGAGTCAGCAAGGCCGAGGCTATTAAAAGCAACACCAATCATTCTCGAAAATCTTAATTAATATACCGACACTATGGCCAGCGTCAATTAAGTACTGATATATTTAAGTTTATAATAGTGAAATATTGTACCAAGCAGTGATTAATAAATGGGCAACTAGTTACAACAATATTATTTACTACCCAAGATAATATTTACCATATGGACAATTGAAAATTTTTATTTTTGCAACCTTTTTTAAAGCACAAGTAGCGAATTTTATTCAATGTAAAATCGCACTTTGAGTGGCCCATATACAATGCCGATATAATTTTGCATCCGCTGCGTTTAATTTCTTCCTTAGTTGCACTTTTTTCAATAAAAATGGTTGCTTCTTGCCATATATAATTATTTGTTGAAACCAATTTAACAATTTTGCTTTTTCCTTGATAAAAAAATGCAGAGGTTGTATCACAACCAGAAAATGCGTGTAAAAAGCCCACTAAATTTTTTAACGAAGATTTCGTAGATTCACTTATTTTAAGTGCATTATTGAAAGAGTTGTAGTAATAAATTTCTTCCGATTTTTTTCCTTGGCTAGGTTTCCAGAAAAAAATATTTTTATTTTCAGTTACTTTTTGTAAAAATATTACCAGAACATCAATATCCTCTGCAATTATAAAAACTGGCTTGTTATCTGAGGCTAATATATACTTGATACTCGCCGATTCACATTTGAAGTGAATGTCTCTCATCACCACCTCTCATGCATTCCGAGCGACATATTACGCGAAAACGGTTTTTTATTTGTCTTTTTTATGGATATTGCCATAAAGCGCATTACGTAAAACTTTTCATAAACTTTGACCTTCAATATCTCGGCAACCAGTAAGCCGAATGTATCTTTTTGTTTTTTAAAAGAAGCGTCTCTTAATGTTCTTTAAGTGTATACATTTTGAAATTGATATGTTTAAAGCTCGTAAAGTTATTTAATTTGTTTATAAGCCTAAAAAATGTTTATAACTTTAAAAAAATTTATAGGCTTTCCTAGTAAACCGATTTGAATTTTACAAAAAGCGTTTAAAAGTGAGACTTCCTTTATATGTAAAAAAAATTGCAACTATCTGAGGGCTTTATTTAGGGCCTACTATGAATTTGAAAATTTGCGATTTTTTTCCAGTAGGCTGGGTTGCAAAATTATTATGCAAAACCTATCTGACCGATCTTAACAAAATTTAGCACACGTTTTAAACATATTAAAAAGTTTTTCTAGGCGGAATATGGAACTTGTAAGTCAAGTTTAGAAAGTCAAAAACATTTAAAGGATTAACTTCATTTTTTTGTACTTTTTTTTCCAATTATTGCTATTTTTTCAACAATAACCATTAAATTTTCAATTTCTAGCTAACAAAATATTGTGTAAAATTTAATAACGAAACTTTTAACCACATAATTTTTTCTCTAAAATCAATATTTTTCGAATTATAAATGAAAATAGGAGCAAAAAATGAGAAATTTTCAATTGTTTTCAGATTTTGTTAAATAAAAAATTTAGCACAGGGTTTGCGACTGGCGCATATCGTGATTATCGATACTGGGCATATCCTGAAGGGATTCCAGCAAAAAAATAGCTTCCCTCGAAAATTTCCATTATGGTCTGAATTTCTATAGATGCCGCCTAGTCTAGTGATCATTTAATGGCGAGAAGTTTTGCCTCTGCGGTATATTACTCCACCCGGTGCGGCAATACCGCAAAAAAGCGTTGCGTATTCGTAAAATATTTTAGTAATATATATTTAATTTTTTAAATTCTTATAACATCTTTTTTGTTATTTTTTTTTTATTTTTATTTTTTTTTATTGTAACAATGGCTTTGGTAAAGCCAATTATCCAGTTATAACATCTTAAACCAAACATATTTGTGTAAAATATAAATTTCTTGGATGTTTCTGTTTAGCCGCGCGATATTACCCTTCCTTCCGACGAACATGCGCAACAACAAAGTTTTGTTTTTTAAATCTTGTCAACTCCCGAAGATTTTTTAACTCAAATTTAACTAAATGTGAGCATTTCGACGTCATTACTAACTAAATTTAGGCAGGACTGTGAAAAACGAAAATAAAAAACTGACATAATGGTATTAAAGTAAAAAATAAAAACGTCGACCCAAAAATATAGTCAGCCAAATGAAAGATTGATTTAAATTAACGCAACTAATTTAATAGGTGTGAATATTTGATTAATTATGGGCTGCATCTGCAGACACAGCATGAAGGAAATAGGAACCAATCCATGAAAATTCCCTTGCAGTCGTTGTCGGGATCGTAAGCGAGTAGTCTGTGCCATTTGTATTTCTGCTCACAACCGCAATCGTTTGTGCATCTTTTGGTGCTGCTTCTCCTAAAATAGAAAAAAAGTTTTAATAAGTCCTTTGGGATTATCGGGACGAGGATAGAGTATCCAAAAATCTAAATTAATTATTCGAAATATTGGGTTTATAAGAAAACTATTGAAATTTACCATGTATCTAATTAATAAAGTACAGTTGGTACATTATACAGAGTGGCCCAAAAGTCTGGAAACGGCCAATTATCTCGTAAATTGCTAGTTATAATTGTACAAAATTTGACGTACGCCTATTTTGGGATACGGAGATTCCATATTTGATATTTGCAATGTTGCCAGATTTGCCGTTTCTCTGATATTATTAGTAACTTTGGTTTTTCAAATGCATCACCCTGTATATTCAGTCATTATTAGAATCTTCTATTCAATACGAGTTCAACTATATGTACAACACTTGTAGACAAGGTAGAATTGAATGGCCTCCACGTTCACGCGATTTCAATCCTAAAGATTATTTTTATTAGGTATACTTGAAAAATTCAGTTTATAAACTTAACCAGCCAAGTCTTGCAGAGCAAAGGCAACGAAGTATCGATTAATCTCAAATAATTTCTAGACAATCATGGAGAAATGTGGTAGACGCATTCTACCATCGATTAGGGTACTGTCAACTCACAAATTGAGCACATTTTGAACACTTAATAACGTAACTATTGTTAAAAAATGGTCTAATCTATCAATTGTTACGTTTTAAAGTAGTTGAAAATAATTAGTATTAAAAAATTTATTGAAACAATTAGGCGTTGCCAGCTTTGTGTTTTATGTATTTAAGACCTATCAGACTACATAAAATCATAAGTGTTACATATGGTTGAACTCGTATTGAATAGGAGATTCCAATAATGACTAAATATACAGGGTGATGCATTTAAAAAACCAAAGTTACTAATAATATAAGAGAAACGGAAAATCTGGCAACATTGCAAATATCAAATATGGAATCTCCGTATCCCAAAATAGGTGTACCTCAAATTTTATACAATTATAACTAGCAATTTACGAGATAATTGGCGGTTTCCAGACTTTTCTGCCACTCTGTATATCACGGTACGTATAATGCACGTCATAGTAAGTGACGCCACATAATACCAACAAAAAATATTAAGTCGTAGGTCTGTTCCTTCATAGCCAGCTTTTAGCCAAGTACACGGGAATTAGAGTCACGAGACATATTTTATTATATACGCGTAGAAATAATATATGAAGACTTGTATTAATGTTAACCTAAAGAAATACATCATAACTTGTTTCATTTAATTTGTTAAAAAAGATTATAAAGCGTTTTTATAAAGCACACTTGTCCGGATCACTTTAACTGCGATTGAACGGAGGTGACATTTTGTTATAAATTGGTAACACTTATTTGACTGTTGTGGTGTTGACACTTTAGATTTGTTCTTATTATTTACTAATAATTAAACTCTGTTCTTTTTAGAACAAAATTAGTGTGATTTTTAATTCCAAAATGTCACAAAAGAAGTTAAATAGTCGTTGTAAGGAGATGGTAACTTTTTTGATTGATTATTTTGAACAAGAACGTGGTAATAACGGCCTCATTCTACCATTGACTACTGGTACTCTCTTACTAGTAAATTGTATATTACTTACTATTTGGATGCTAAGTAAATGCATCATAACAGATACTGACACGTAATGACTAGCACGTAATAAATAGTATATTACATAACGAGAGTTGTAAGAAGCTTATTACATGCGAGTAAAAAAGTTGCGCGCGAGCCGCGTAGCGGCGAGCGCAGTAATTTTACAAGCATGTAATAAGCTTACAACTCAAGTTGTGTACTATACTTTTTCTACCATTATGTTCGTTTATAAAAATAAAAATTAAATTACCACTATATTTACACTGACAGATTAATAATTTTTAATCTGTCAAAATAACGTCTGTTTATTCGTTTCCATGGCAACTCGACCAACTGACTTACAAGGCTTATGTGATATTACACATTTTTATAAAACTGAAGCGTAATTTTTTTTATTACGTGCTAGTCATTACGTGTCAGTATCTGTTATGATGCATTTACTTAGCATCCCAATAGTAGGTAATATACAATTTACTAGTAAGAGAGTAGAAAAAAAAATTACGCTTCAGTTTTATAAAAATGTGTAATATCACATAAGCCTCGTAAGTCAGTTGGTCGAGTTACCATGGAAACGAATTAACAGACGTTATTTTGACAGATTAAAAATTATTAATCTGTCAGTGTAAATATAGTGGTAATTTAATTTTTCTTTTTATAAACGAAAATAATGGTAGAAAAAGTATAGTACACAACTTGAGTTGTAAGCTTATTGCATGCTTGTAAAATTACTGCGCTCGCCGCTATGCGGCTCGCGCGCAACTTTTTTACTCGCATGTAATAAGCTTCTTACAACTCTCGTTATGTAATATACTATTTTATATGCTTGTAAAAGGTAGATTTTTTTCGTTAGATATCATAAAGTGTATTAAGTTAAACAGATTTGTTTAACATGGAATCAAATTTAATTATTTTCAGAAGAACATGTGACTTTGACCTTTTTACGGATTCGATTGAAGGAATAAGAACTGTTTAGTGGTTATTGTATGTCACTCTATATTGTACTGAAATACATTGGTTTTAACTAGCTTAAAGATGATCCAAGGCGAGGACTCATGAAACAGTCTCATATTGCTGTGAAGAGAGTAGAATTTTTCAGATTATATAACCATGAAGAACTATACAAGTTTGTTTTTATTGATGAAACTTAGTTTTTTCAGAATGGATCTAGATATGTCGTTCATAGAAAGATGAGAATAAAAGAAGTGTAAAATCTATTAAAACTGATGTAAAATGGTAATATATTTAATCATATTAAAAACATAAAGGTGTTAAAATATTTTTTTTTGTAGATACAATATTCTTCCTGCTGGTAATGAAAATGGCTTCATTGAGGGTATAGAGACTATATTCTTCTCTAAATTGGTTTTAGTGGACTACCATGGAGAAATATGTCAAGCAAATTTTTTATAGTGGTATGAGAATCAACTATTAAAAAGTTTGTCTGAACCATCAAAGATTGGCTAACTAACACTAAACCGCCTTTTAATGAGACAATGTTAAAAAATGAACCAAGGCATATTTTGAGATGAAACAAAAAACACAATGCTTAGGAAACATGTTAGCAATTGAAAAATAAGATTTTACGAAAATTTGCCAACGGAATTATTCGACAGGATGTTTCAAAGTTGGGATCATAAAACCACGTTTTTATTAACCACGTACAATAAGTCAAATGTAAAATGTTATCAAAAAACTGACTATACCAAACTAAAATTTATACACAGTGAGCTGAAAAAATTATCAAAATAAGGCTAAAAATAAAAAAACTGAAATACTTTTAGATTTTTTTGGACCTGAGTGTATGTTGTTGTTTAGACCATTTTGTGTTTCCCAATACTTACGCGCACACTTCTTGATGTATAGCTTGTTCAAAGTGCTGAGTATTTACTATGGCACGCACTTTTGCTGCTGAGTTCAGTGCCCAATAAGGCGTAACAATTTCTATCTTGCTCTCACATGCGTCGATCCTAGAATAAAATAATACTGATTATATATAACATTTGAGAAAAATATGTTTATTGCAAATATCTTTGTATGTTTTTTTTTTAATTTTAGGTAAGTTCCAATACATTGATACTACTTCTAATTAGATTTTAAACAAAGTTGGCAGGTAGCACCTCTCAATACTTTATTTGTGAAAGATCTTCACGTCAGATCATGCTCTCTATTTCAATCTCTTTTAATTTTTAAGGAAAGATTCGTCAAGAATGGTATAACTCCAAAGCCATTCTACTATTCAAGAAAGGAGACAAAGTAAACATCGAGAATTACCAACCAATATCCTTGCTATCACATCTATATAAATTGCTAACTAAAATCATAACCAACCACCTAACACATAAGCTCGATTTCTATCAATCTATCGAGCAGGCTGGATTCAGAAAACATTTTAGTACCATAGACTACTTGCGAACCGTAAGAACACTAATAGAAAAATGCACCGAGTATAATGTTCCAATTCATATGGCGTTCGTCGATTTCCATAAAGCATTCGATTTAATCGAAATATGGGCCGTGCTTAAATCTCTAAAAAATGCACGTATAGATTCAAGATATACTAACATATTTAAGAACATACATTGAAAATGCCACCATGCAGATAAAGCTGGACAAAAGCACAAAAACTAATCCCATAAGACTACAACAGGGAGTAAGACAAGAAGACACCATATCTCCCAATATATTTACCCTTGCTCTAGGAGACATTTTTAAGAAACTAGAATGGAAAAACAAGGGTATCAACGTCGATGGATCATACTTAAACCACTTGAGATTCGCAGATGACATAGTTTTAAAAGGCGATAATATCCAAGAACTAAATGATATGTTCCAACAATTAAATGCAGTTTCAGGAGCGGTAGGCTTAAAAATGAACTACAGTAAAACAAAAATACTAAGCTGAGACTAGACAAATATTACAATACAAAATCATATCATAGATAATGTTGAACATTATGTATATCTAAGTCATGTCATCAAACTAGGAAAACCAAATCGTGATGCTCAAATTAAAAGAAGAACACAACTGGCATGGGGCGTTTTCGGCAAACTAGCATATATCTTGAAAAACACCTCTATTCCTGTAAACTAAAAAAACTGTATGACACATGCATACTACCAGTTTGTACCTACGATTTGGAGACAGTAGCCCTTACCAAAAAATGTTCTAAAAAATTAGAAACAACGCAAAGAGCAATGGAACGAATCATGCTTGGAATATCACTGATAGACAAGATTAGAAACACTGAGATAAGACGTAGATTAAGGATATTGTGGAAGAAATTACAAAAATGAAATGGTCAGGAGAATTCTAGAATGGAGACCAAGGACAACAAGAAGCATGGGAAGACCTCAAAAAAGATGGGTAGATGACATTTGCAGTGGCAGGCAAAGAGTGGATTAGATTGGCGCAAGATAGAGAAAGATGGAAGCAATTGGTAGAGACCTCATAGAGACTTTTACTGTTTACTAACTAAAGCTAAGTTGTCAAACCGTTTGTTAAGCTTTTTAGATTTCAGGGAAAATTAAAATATTCAGAATTATTCGCAATTATCAATTTTGCCGCTTTGGATCAATTTCACCCCATTTTACGGTACTTACTATCAACTGACCACAGAAAAATACAAAAGATAAAAATGAACAAGGCTCACCTCCCACTTTCGGAATTCTGGTTAGTATTCCTGAAGTTTTGTCTTGTGGTACGATTCTTGCCGGAAACGTTTTCTTCTGCGTGGACCGGATCAGGTCCTGGATCAAAATGTCGGTCTGGAACTCCCGGTTTTGTGGAACGTTTTCGTTTTGTACCGGGACGAGCTTTTCCTTCGTAGTCAGGCATATCGAATTCGCCGTACATTCGCTTCATGAGGGCTTTATTTTCGTCAATAAATAATTCTATACGATCTCTGAAAAATACATTAATTGATATAAAAATTAATAAAATTACATTGCATTTATGTGTAATATAAATATCTGATATACTTCTGGCAGTTCTGGAACTTCTGTAATTTCAAACAGGTTTATAATTCAATTAATTGTCTATGACTATGAAATGCAACTATTGAGCTAGGCATACCTAAGAAACTAGCTGCGATAACGCAAATGTGTATAGGTAACTTCTTTAGAATAGGAGGGAAAACATCAAATGCTTTCTGTGTAAACTCTGGAATAAGACAGTTTAGACAGTACTTTTATATAGAGTAGAAGCTTGGACACTGACAGAGGCATCACTTAAGAGGCTTTAGGCATTTGAAATGTAGCACATATTTTGAGGATAATTTGGGTCGACCATATTTCTAATGGGAAAGTACTTCGCAGAATGAATACATAACCTGAAATCCTAAATACTATAAATGCATTGAAATGGGAGTACTTGGAACCTATCATGCAAAACAGTGAACGCTAGGGACTCTTACAGCTAATCTGCCAAGAAAAAATAATGGGAAAAGAAGGTCGCGGACGCTGACAAATCTCATGATTTAAAAATTTGGACGTGACGTAAAAAAAACGTGGACAATGTATGAGTCTTTCTCTTCTTCTTCAGCCTGTGTTCGTCCACTGCTGGACATAGGCCTCTTCCATTTGCTTCCATCGATTTCTACTTTTGGCAATTCTCATCCACTGGTTGCCCGCGACTTGTTTGATATCGTCTGTCCACCTCTTCTGCGGTCTGCCTACTCCTCGCCTGTTCTATCTTGGTCTCCAGTTTGTTAATCTTTGTGTCCATTTTTCGGGATTATCTCGGGCAACGTGTCCGACCCATTGCCACTTGAGCCTTGCAATACGTTCTGAGACATCAGTAATTTTTGTTCTTTCACGAATGACGTTATTTCGAATCCTGTCTCTCAAACTAATCCCTAGCATGGCCCTCTCCATTGCTCTTTGGGTTGTATTGAGCTCCTCTAAGGTTTTCTTTGTGAAGGCCATGGTCTCCAGTCCATATGTAGTTACAGGCAAGATACATTTGTCATAAAATCTACGTTTTAGACACATTGGTATATCTTTATTCTTCAAAATAAAGCTTAATTTGCCGAAAGCTCCCCAAGACAGTTGTATGCGTCTTTTTATTTCGGCTATTTGATTTATTTTGCCGATTTTGATGGTATGTCCAAGATATATATATATATATATATATATATATATATATATATATATATATTATATATATATATATATATATATATATAGTGGTCTACATTTTCAAGACTGACGTTGTCAATAACAAGATTAGCTTGTAAATTACTCATTATTTTTGTTTTCTGAAGGTTCATTTTGAGACCTATTTTATTTGACTGCTGGTTTAATTCCTTCAACATTTGCTCCAGTTCCTTGATATCTGTACTAAATAATACTATGTCATTCGCAAACCTCAAATGACTCAAACGTACACCATCAATGTTTAGACCTTTTTCTTCCCAGTCAAGCTGTTTGAATACATTTTCCAATGCTAAGGTAAAAAGCTTTGGTGAAATAGTATCACCTTGTCTAATACCTTTATCAAGGCGCATTTTTTCAGTTTTTTCGTCTTCATTGATTTTGATGTGGAATGTGGCCTGTTCATAAATGTTTTTAATGAGTGTAGTGTACCGTGAGTCTATTCGAGCATCTTTCAGGGCTGACAAAAAGGACCAAGTCTCAATACTATCGAAAGCCTTGTGAAAGTCGATAAATGATGTTGAAAGTTGATAAATGATGATGATGATGTATGAGTGGCCATGATAATTGCCAGTATTTGAAACGAATAGGCAACAAAAGAAGAAGAAGTTGAAGAAGCATCCAAAAAGAGAAACGTTTATTATAAGGTCTAATTACGATTTCTTTTTCAAACGCTTCCTATTTAGTACAGTATACTAAATGAGATACTTACAATGGATATGAATTTCCCGCTGTAGGACAGTACAATTGTTGATTACGTTTAATACAAGGAACTCCTCGAAGATATTCAGCTCTTAACTCTAGACCTAAAACTACTGATAGCGCCGTCCATAATATCTGAAATAAAAAAAAATAGTTAAAAAATAATCCTTTCACCGCAGATTTATGTAGATATGCAGATGAGTGTATACTTGTTCACTTCGGTAGTTAACATTTAAATTTCTACAGAAATAAGTAGCTCTATCGATATATTTCTTAAGAAATAGGGTGTAACGTTCAAAGAAGAGTCGAATTTAATGTAATTGAATCGTTTTCTCCAACGAGAATTGGGTTAACAACAAAAATCCTTTGTAAAAGGTATATATTTAGGTTAAAAAGACAAAACGTTTTCGGAATCCATATTCCATCATCAGTGTCTAAGAGTACATGAATATGAATGTAGCCACTAAATACATGGGTAAAAACCCCTTAACAAATGATTAATTACATTTAGTTTACGAATTTTCTTATAATGGTTTAGGATGTTAAAGTTACCGTTGGATTAGGTAACATGGCGACATATGACTCCACGTTGAAGTTGCTAGTCTTGAGACATTGTGTCTACGAAGACTGTATGGGAGCAACTGTATGGGAGCAATACAGTCTTCGTAGACACACTGTCTCAAAACTAGCAACTTCAACGTGGAGTCATATGTCGCCATGTTACCTAATCCAACGGTAACTTTAACATCCTAAACCATTATAAGAAAATTTGTAATAATAATAGTCTCCCGTTTTATACCGCACGCGGCTTTGGGAGTATAGCAGGGTAGTCTGCTATATCTAGGGCCTACGGTATACAAGGAAGGTAACATGGCCAGTGCTACGCTTCAACCGCCTATTATTACCCCTGGTTTTACCCAAGGTACTCATTTTATTCAGGCTGAGTCGACCTGGGGCCTATAGACATTTTTAAAAATGCCTAGTTGTTCTTGCCGGCGGTAGGATTCGAACTCACGACCACCGGCATGCGAGGCAAGCACACTACCGCTTGCGCTACGCAGGCCCAGAAAATTTGTAAACTAAATGTAATTAATCATTTGTTAACGGGTTTTTACCCATGTATTTAGTGGCTACATTCATGTACTCTTAGACACTGATGATGGAATATGGATTGCGAAAACGTTTTGTCTTTTTAACTTAGCTCGTTTGGGTCTAGATATATACCTTTTACAAAGGATTTTTAATAAATTTTTTAATATATGGTATACAGCCAACTACAGGAACGTAGATTCCTTGTGGAGAAATAGATTAGGTAAGGTATGGGCAGCTCTGTGAATAGTGATGAAACGACAATATTCACTTTGAGCGATCTAGCTACTTTGTCTGTCATAAGCACGTGATTACCAAACTAATATGGGTGGGAACGCTGAAGGGTAGAGGTGCATTTATTATACAAAGTGCTAAAGAGAGATAGATAAACCACCGATCGAGTACTTCGCCTTTCACTATTTTGATCATGATGGCTAGTCTACTCTTATTATCATCATCATCTTGGTGCTACAGCCCTCAGAGAGCCTCGACCTTCTCATGCTTTCTACGCCATTTTGTTATGTCCCTTTCTTGCATTTTCTAGTTGCCGACTCCTATCTTCTCGGCATCTTGTGTTACCCCGTCCATCCACCTCAGCTTTGGTCTACCCGTCTTCTCATTCCCACGGGTTGCGCTGTTAGAATCTTTTTTATCATGTTCGATTCAGGGGTCCGGGCTACATGTCCTGCCCACTGCAGGCGGTTTCGCTTAATTATAGTGGTAATATCTTTACCACCAAACGCATGCTTGTAGATATTCTGCAGTTTAAAGTTATATTTACGCCTCCATATTTCGTTCTCACAGACCGCTCCGAATATCTTGCGTAGCAGCATTCTTTCAAAAACCGATGGAGCGGATTCATCTGTTTTAGTTAGCGTCCATACCTCTGATCCATATGTGAGAACGGGGACCATCAGTGTTCTATACAGCCTTATACGAGTTTTTGAGACAGACGTTTGTTAGCTAAGTACTTTGATAGACCATGATAATACCTGTTTGCAATTATTATTCGCCTTTTTATTTCTTCAGATGTGTTATTATTGGGGTTAACCGATGTCCCTAGATATATGAACTCTTTGACTGCTTCGAAGCTTTGGTCATTGATGAATAAATCTGTGTCAACATTTTCAGCTCTTGTGTTTGTGTTAGTCGCCATGAATTTGGTTTTATTTTGATTTATATGTAATCTCTTTCCTTCTGCTGCTACTACTAGCTCGGTTGGGGTTTCCGCTGTTCTCGTCCTGGTTTTGTTATAATGTCCACATCGTCTGCATATGCTAGAATTTGGACTGATCTATTAAATATTGTTCTCCTGCTATCTAAATTAGCGTCTCGTACAACTGTTTTTAAGGCGACATTAAAAAGCTGACAAGCCAGCGCATCTCTTTGCCTTAACTCCCTATGTGTTTCATATGGAGTTGACGAGTCGTTTTGAATTTTTACTGCTGAACATCTCGCTGTCACTTTTATGAGTTTTTGGAATTCCTAACTCATTCATAGCGTTGTAAAGACTTGGTCTTAAGACACTTTCATATGCCGCTTTAAAATCGACAAAAATATGATACATATCTATGTTAAACTCTTGAGCTTTTTCGAGAAAATGTCGTAGTGTAAAGATCTGGTTAATGGTTGAACGTCCACGCCTGAATCCTGCCTGATATTCTCCTAGAAACGTTTCGGTATAAGGCTTTAATCTCTCGTGCAAAATGTTTAACAATATCTTGTATGCTGTATTTAGGAGAGTTATTTCGCGGTAATTATTGCATTCCAGTTGGTTTCCTTTTTTGTATAACGGGCAAATTAAGCCCAAGCTCCATTCTTCAGGCATTTGCTCCTCAGACCAAATTTTACAAAGAATTTCTGGCATCACCTTGGTGAGCTGCTCTTCAGCGTGCTTAAATAGCTCTGCTGGGATGCCATCGCTGCCTGGGGATTTGTGGTTCCTTAGTTTTTCTATAGATATTTTCACTTCATCTACCGAGGGAGGTTCCACGAGTTCCTCATTTCGGTATTTCTTTTTTTTGTATCTATCTATTGTTGTCCTAGCTTTCCGTTGTTGCATGGTCCTAAATGCCTCGTTTTTCTCATCTGTTATTTTTTTGCAGTCTTGGTCGAACCAGTCGTTTCTTTCTTGGGTTCAGGATATTCCCTATGTTCACTCTTATTATATAAATCATTAAAATTGGCAATTCTTCATTGTAGTAGTCGTCAATTGGCGCAAGTTGTATAAATATTATTGGTAGAGCGTGCCTCAACCTCCCCCATTAGACGACGAGTCACCAAGCTCTTTCGCGCTAAAATCCATAAAATCGTCACTTGTTTTGAGGAGGTGAAAGTACCCTTTGAAGTGCATGGCGAAAAATCTCCCGGTCTATCTAATTTAGAAATTTATTAAGTATATTATTCTGATTAACTGTTAATATTAGTTATTCTTTAAAATATTATTGAGCTTTTATTACGTTATTATCTAAATACATTTACACAAAAACTCACACTAGACAAAGGACAAGCGGTTTAAAAATTGTTTCTATGCTACATTGTGGGCAACGGCAGGCATACACAGTTTGGATTTAGAGATGGATAGGGAATTAGAGAAGCACTTTTTGCACTGAATGTTTTGCTACAGAAATATCTAGATCAACGTCAAGATGTCTTTGTCGTTTTTATCGATAATGAGAAGTTATTCAATACAGTACATCATGACAAGTTAATTAAAACATTAAGAGATATAGGAGACATAACTACATTTTCATAACACCACAGACACAATCACAGTTTATTTAAACTGAACAAAAAAAACTTTTTGTAACTGTAAACTAACTTTATCTCTGTAAACAGCGTACTTTGTAATCGAATGGAAACTTTCTAAATGGCTTTTATTGTAGTTTTGTTTCCGATAAAACTTTTCGGAACGTTGGTGGAAGTTAAACGAATAACATCTCGATGTGAATATGCGTGTATTTGTCCAAACTTTTTAAGCTTTGTGGTTTTATTATACGTGTTTTTTCGATATTCGCGGCAAGGACAATTGCTGTTTATATATATATATATATATATATATATATATATATATATATATATATATCGGAAAAAGGAGTACGATCGTCAATCCAATATATATTTATATATATATTATATATATATATATATATATATATATATTTATATATATATTATATATTTATATATATTTATATATTATATATATATATATATAAGGATCACTCAGACGAGTGGTAGGTTCTTATATCGGTCTCTAGGTGGAGAAATAAAAGACAAAGTTGATAGGCTACTTTATCTATTTTGAAGACGTTTCGCTTTCGAGTTTTGAAAGCATCATCAGTTCATCTAAAATATTTTACAATATGAGAACCACACAATCATGGAAACGATGTTAATTGTTACCTTAAAAAGACATGTAGCAGTCAATGTTATTAACAATAATGTGAATGAAACTAATGTAAATGGACATAATACGCTGATTTTGTATAAACAGTTAAGTAACTAACAACATATATGAACTTATAAAAATTAGCACAGCAAATGACCATGTGGTCTAAAGTAAATTCAATTGTTATTTAATGTTAATTAGTGAGCAAGAACCAAGATCATCATAGATAACTTCCAACTATTTAATGAATATTAAGCTTTGATTTTTAACTTTAGGTAGCATTATAAGTGATATTAATAAAATTTTAAAAAAGTAGTATAAATGAAGTTACCGATCAAAGCCCTATGAATATCGCCGGGGAAAATGGCGTTAAATGAAACAGGAACGAACTAAACCGCGAAAAGACAGCCAACCTTGAAGTCAAAAATACTTTCGACAGATCAACAAGGTGTAGGTACCAACCCAAATTTTGGGCGGTCAATTTAAGTTTAAATGAGTTTGGATGACTACCCGGTTGTAAAAGACAACACAGTGAAAAAAGTTGGTAGTGTAATAGCAACTCCCCCTCACTAATCAGTCCAGATTTACAAACAGGAGATTTTCATTCAACCTAAATTATTTTATGCATAATATATATTTTATATAGGTACATAAA